AAAGGTGGCTGAGACCCTTGGGGAGTTTACAGTCTGATGAATAGTTAGAGATGGAAACATAAACACAAGATAAACATAAGGGGAGCATCGGTGGCTATTCCCATGCAGGGCAAACTTGGTCGTGCTCATTCACACTGTGGAGGGCAGAAAAGTCCTGTTCCTCTGAAGAAGTGGGCCCGGAGGCTGGGATGGGAGGGTGGCAGGAGCAGAGGCGGGTGTGGTAGAGGGCTCTGCATGGGGAAGAGCAGGAGGCATGCTGAACGTGCACTGCAGTGAGAGAGAAGTAGGAGAAGTCTGTGAGGCTCCCCGTGGGGAGGGACAGTGGGAAGGGCAAGAGAGCCAGAGGGTGGGCCAGAGTCAGATCACCGCTGGTGGGGAGCGTGGACTCTATCTTAAGAACAAAGAGGAAGACACTTTCAAAGAGTTTCAGTCTAGGGGAGAGATGATCTGAATTCTGTTGAGATGAAAAAGATTCTCTTCAGCTGTCGTGGGGAGAGTGGACACAGGAGATGGGTTGGGGGCCATTGTGGCTGTCCCAGTGAGGACAGTCTCTCTGTGGGGGGTGGTCATGGAGATGGCAAGAATGTGACAGGCAGGACATAAGTCATGAAGGTGGACCCTACAGGACCCCAGGAATCGGCAGAGGAAGTGAGAAAAGAACACGAAGCCAGAGCTCACAGATCCCTGAGCTTGGAGGGGATCTGGGGGCCCTTGGAGGCTTGGGGGAGAGGAAGGGTGCTGGCGGTGGGCTCAGGAGTACAGAGGCTGATATTCTAGGACTAGTTCTCTTCTGTTATTTGTGCTGTTATTTGTCTTCTTTTTTTATTTTTAAGATTTTATTTATTTATTAGAGAGCGAGTGAGCAGGGGGAGGGGTTGGGTGGGGGGAGTGGAGGGAGAGGGACAAGCAGACTCCATGCTGAGTGCAGAGCCCACGCAAGGCTCGATCCCATGCAGGGCTCGATCCCACGACCTTGAGATCATGACCTGAGCTGAAATCCAGAGTTGGCCACTTAACTGACGGAGCCACCCAGGCGCCCTGTTATTTGTCTTCTTCATTTGAAACAACACTGAGGGCCATGTTCATTGTGTTAATAAGCTCTGAGCATAGGCAGTCACTTACCAAGTGACCTTGAGGGGAGATCTGGTGAATGTTGGAAGGCACCCCGTGAGGTGTGTGAGCCCCTCTGCAGGCTGGGGTGTGGGTGGTGATGGGAGGGGACCTGGGGGGATGTGACCCTGCCCTGCCCCTGCCCCTGGCGGTGGAGAAGGAGGTCTAGCGGTCAGGCTTCCTGAGCTCAGTCTGGGATGGAATGCTTCTGACTCCAGAATTTTTGTGTTGCGAGGCCTGGGGAGTTGGTCCATGCAGATGGGAGTTTTAGTGGCAGGACGTGAGCTAAAGTGTAACTAGTCAGGCCAGTGACCCCTGCCTGCTGGCGGGCTTTCTTGTGTGTGACCTGCGCCCTCTGTTCTCCTGTGCAGGATACGGAGGTGCTGAACACGGCCGTCCTCACCGGGAAGCCTGTCTCGGTTCCCGTCAAGGTCGTGGGCATTCAGGAGGACGGCTCCGTGGTGGACGTGTTGGAGGCTGTGGAGTGCAGGTCTGCGGATGAAGATGTCGTGAAGGTACAAGGGGCCTTACCGCCAATCCTGCCCGGGGTCCGGTCCTCTGGGGGGCCGTCCCTCTGTCCCAGGGTCTTGTGGGGCTGGAGCCAGGGTGACCACACTGAGGAGTGGGGGACTGACCCCTCCAGAGGAGACCTGTTTCCCTCCCCGGAGTGGGGAACCCTGGTGTCTTAAGCAGAAATAATTTTCTTCCCCTCCTTTTGGTCACAGGACAATATTTCCCTAATTTTAGCAATGCACATGTCATCTCAATGTTTGCCAGCTTCCTTTGTAAATAATATTATTTACTCAACAGATTTTCTTTAGATGCGTCACTTTTTCAAACTTAATACTATTTAGCTTCTGAAGGGAAGGAAAAATTCTTCTTCAACCCTTCATGTTCTTCCAGCTGGACTAAGAATTAAATTGACACGAGACAGATTAACAGGAGAAAAATCCCAAAGTTTTATGAAGTGTGCACAGAGGGCCAGTCATGAAATTGAGACCTAAAGAAATGACCATGGCAGGCAATTTTTGTACTTTTTAGACAGAGACAATAAATCTGGGAGGACTTGACAGGGGAAAGAAAACTTCACTTTGGGGGCTCCAATTAGTAAGGAATTGTATCAGACAGGCACTCTGACTGACTCAGCTAAGGCACACACCTAGTAAGGAATTCTAGAAAGAATGTAGGCTGGGGTAGTAAATTAGTAAAAAGTTAACAAGGGATGTTTATACAGCTTTCTTGTCTTTCTTACCACTTTCTCTAAATTTCCAAGCTCAGTGATGAGGATGTTTCTTTACTTCTGGGCACTAGGGGGGCATCTTTCACATGGGAAATTTTGGGGTGCAGAGGGGAGGGGCTGAATGTCCTTGCACAGGTTATAAGTCTTTTATTTAAAATAACCCATATGCCCCTATGCCTCATTATAATGACATTACAGTCCATGGTCTTGATGTGCTAATTTTTTCTTAATATACATTAAAATGGATGACTGTTGAAATAAAAGTCCCTCCATGTGCCTCCTAACTTAATTTGAGTACCAGTGGGATTCAGCTCATGGTTTGGGTAATCTGGCCATGGGGGCATTTCCTCTGGGTTCTTCGTTTTAAGTAGCTGTATTTATGAGTCCAAATTCAGCCAGGAATCAGGCCATGGATTATTTCATGTTCTTTGCAGGGATCTGTGTGAACCACCTAATTTAGAGTTTCTGCCTGTTTTTTCTTGGCACACTGCTTGGCCATTTCCTTTTGCAGGAGACACCTCATAGAGAAAGGACTTGAAGCTTCCCAACTGTCCTTTCTCCCTCAAGTTGCTAAGCGAGCCCCCGGGGCCCATACATTCATTCAAGAACAAGGCAGTAGGCTCTGTCTTCCCTCACATTCCACAGGTTCTTGTTTAGAGAGTAAATCAAACTTGGTCCCAGGCGGAAGAACTTCGTGGTAGACAGAAAAGCCTCTAGGGTTCTCCTTGTGGTAGAAAAGATTTGGGAAGGGCCGATTCTTCTCGTGGTGACCTACAGGAGGCTCTGCCTTAAGCCAGAGATGGTTTTGATAAAGAAGAATTGATGTGTCTGTGAGGCCTAATTAAAGAAAAAAAGTTAATGCTTAGGAAACCCAGATTTGGCACAGCCTGCTTCCTGGGCTTGGAATGCTACTTCTCCCTGGAGACAGAAGAGGGATTGGCTTCAGATCACAGGCAGCCCTGCCCTGCGGCCCCTAGTGGGCCTTGTACTCTGTGGGCAGCTTGGATTAAACAAATCGAAAGCCTGCTGTATTCAGAGTTTAGGAAGATCTGAGCCAAGTCATACAAACCCCTCCCCACAGAAGGAGAAATACTGATGGTGCATCGTCCTTGATTGCCTTTGACAGTGCACGTTATTTACGGTCCCCATGACATTCCAGAGGGAGACATGGGGGGTGACATATGGAGATGGCATCTGGGGGATGCGGCCCAAACAAATGGCCTACATCTGCAGCCCCCTACACCTGTGCTCCCTCCCGAGAGCCTAGGGGAGCCCCCCAGAGCGAGGGGCCCCCCCTCTGCTGCCCTGGAAGGATTTGCCCTCCCATACTGCCTTATACTTGCTCGTTTCCCCTGCAGAGACGTGAACTAGAAATATCCTCCGCCCAGCCTGATAGATACATTGCTTTGGAAGACAATAGTTTTGGGTTTTTTTATTTTTGTTTTTTACTTAACTGTCACTTTTGTGGCCTCACGAAGATGGAGATTTCTTCAAGCAAATTATGACCTGATCTTCAGAACAAACTGGAGTGAGCAGACCATCAAGCTCAGAGCTGCTTCTCAGACTTTTCTAGGGGATCCCAGGCTCTATTGCAAATCCTGGGGCCCAAGTCAAGGGAGGGGTGTTAATTAATTGGCTGTGGTGCATTTGTCATGGGTTTAGTGTCAATATTTGTAGTAAATGTCACCTCCACTTTGAGACAAACAGCATCACCCGCAGAGCTGCACCCTGGCCTCGGCATCCTCCCAGGGGCATTTCCAACCATGGGGGATTTTGTTAGCACCCCACGGGGAGACCTCCTTAGCCTGCACAGGTGTCATTCAGTTACTCCTTCACGATTGCAGAAAACACTGTGTGCTCCCCAGGGAGAATCTTGCAAGGTTCACCAAAGATCTTTGTGCCTTGGAAGTTCTATGCATTGGGACTGTGGTTTAGGTAAGGGAATAAGTATGAATTTAGGAAGATGTAAACTGTAAACGGATTGGCTTCTTTGACTTGGGATTGAATGACTTTGGGAGTACACAATCTGAGGACACACATAATTTCAAAAGGCTGGAAGTTTGGCCTAATCTGGCAAGATTGGGAAGGATAAATTTTAAGTTTTAACTTCTATGTAAAAAACCACATACCCAGTAGAGGATGCATCTTAACAGTAGTGTGTGTGTGTGTGTGTGTGTGTGTGTGTGTGTGTTTCTCTGTGTGTCTATTATTTAATTTTTTGCCACCCTATAAAAATTGTCAAATTCACATAGAAATCTGGGTTTCCAGCTTCTTATGAAAATCACAAGGTCAGGTTGCTTCCTGAGACCCTCACCTGGAGCTGCCTGGAGGACACCCCTGTACATAATGCCTGGGCCCTCCAAATCACCTCACTCCCCACCACTCCCTCTCGCCCCCCCACGGAGGCTTGTGGGACATTTGTCACTTCTTGTCGCACTCCTGATGATGGTTTTCTGATAGTAGATTTCAGAGGAAAGTGAGGCATGTCTTGTACCCTGGTTTCTGTTAAAAATCAGCCACACATGCTGGCTCTCCCTCAGCCACCCTGACCGAGAATTGTATGTCTTTCTAGGCATGGGAGCAACACTGTCTGGGGGGGCAGAGGGCCCTTGACATCAGTCACAGAGAGATGGTTGGAGGACACGTGAGCGTGTAGCCTGCTGATGAGAAGAAAAGGCCTAGGGGTGAGATGAAGAGGGGGAGACAGGACAGCTCTCTGTAAGCCTTCAGGGGCCATCGCTCAGGAGATAGAGAAGATCTGTGCTATTTAAATCCCCAGAGTGGAAATTAAAAGGGAGCCCCTCCAGCTCACTATAAAGAAAGAGAACGCAGAGGTAGTGAATCCCTTTGGTTAAGATTTCAGAAGGTCAACATCGACTCAAATCCTGACTCCGCCTCCATCTCTATTTGACCTTGGACAAATCACTTAACCTCCCTGAGCCCCATTTGTTATCTGTAAAACAGGGATGATAATGACACAGTGTGGAACCTTCCATAGGGAAAGTCAGTGTATACGGCAGAGGCAGAACTAACAGTAATCAAAGTAATCCTTGAAAATCCCTGAGACAACACCTGGGTTCAAAAAGTTAAAAAGACAATTGATATTTAAAAAAAAAAAAATTGTCTCCTTGCATTTGAGCTGTGGCCAAATCTCCTGGGGCATTGTTGGTCAAGGCTAGTTTGAAAGGGAGCGCTCGGGGTATCTCTGTAAGTTAGACTGGAGCAGAGTTGGTGGTGAGATACATGCCCATCTGTTATCCTTCTCTCTTACAACTTCTGCTGGACAGACAGCAACCCCCAGTCATTGCAAGCACATGTAACTGAATTTTTGCTTGTCAAATCTGCACATGACAGAATCTCAAGATGGAGCTTTGGGGATGATTAAGTAAGCTTATATCTAAAGGAAGCCACATGGTGCTGGATCTATAATAGATCAATAAACATTATATCTACATATCAATATCCATATTCATATCTGTGTATCTTAACCTCGAATTGATTGCAAGGTCTACAGTGTCTATGACTTTATTAACGATGCTCTCCCCAGTCCTAAGCAGAATCTGGAACACAGTGGGGGCTCAGTAAATATTTGTGGAATCTACTAACGAATGATGAATGAATGCTAGAGCTTCCTGGAGATAACAGGCCAAGAGTGGCTGCCTGGTCTTTATTGGAACATCTCCAGTGGTTTCCTGTTACTGGAAGTCTTCAAAGAGCGGGGAGAGGGACATGGCATTGGGTAAAGACCTGGCTCTGGCACTATGATCCAAGGCTGCTTCTCTTCTTGTGGGGGGGTCTTGTTCCACAAATACTTCCAATGATGGACGTGTGGGGGCAACGTATCAGGAGCTTTGGGAGCTACAGAGGTGGAACAGTATGAATTCTGTCATTGGGAACTGACAGCTGAGCTAATGGGTGTTCATAGTTAACATTTGTTGAGAACATAGTAGGTGACAGGTACTATTATAATGAGGACGTTAGAAATAGTGACCCATCTTGTCTTCACAACAAGCCTTCAAGGTAGGTGAGCCTACTATCGCGAAGTTTGTACACGAGGAACGGGCACGTAGACGGGTGAGTAAGTCCCTGGGGTGGTGAATGTGGGGACGGAGTTCCCACGCAATGGCTCCTGGTCATCTGGAATTGTCACCCTCTGACCCCCCTGTGAGCCAGGAGCAGAGCATCGTTCTATGGCTTTCTCATCCAGAAGTCTGTGATGTTTGTCGAAGACTTTTGTCTTCCTCCTCATCACCTGGAAGGTGGTGTATTAGTTTC